CCTAGCCCACCAGGTAGGAAATCTGGATGAGAAGGCTGTGCCAGCGAGGGAAGCAGTCACTGGAGTGGGCAGCCTCTTCCAGGATTCTGAAGACACCTGAGGGTCCTAGGAAAGCAAGCGTGGGGCAAGGAGTGTAGGGGCAACACCAGAAAAGTCAGTGTGAGTTTGGGAGATGTGGAGTCCTGGGTTTGAATCCCATCTTTGTCTTTCCCCAGTTGAGTCTACATCCTGCGGTTCTACTCCCTGGATCTACACAAGAGAACACACACAGAATCTCAGAAACGTGCACATGAGTGTTCCCAGCAGCATTATTCATAGTAGCCAAAGCAACCCAGATAAATGGACAAATCTAATGTGGTTATATACCCACACAATGGATGATTACTCAGCCATAAAGAGGAATGAGGTCCTGCTACATTCTTCAACATGGATGGATAAACCTTGAAAACCTGATGCTAAGTAAAAGAAGCCAGTCACCAAAGACTCCATTTGGATGAAGCACGCAGAACAGGCAAATCCAGAGACACAAAGCGGACGAGTGGTTGCTGGGGACAAGAGGGAAAGGGGGCGTGGGGAGTGACTGTTCACAGGCATGAGGTTACTTTTTGGGGTCATGGAAATGTTCTGGAAGTAGATAATGGTGACACTACACAACATCATGAATATAATAAAAATCACTGAATTATACACTGTTTTGTTGTTTTTATTTTTATTATTATTTTTTCAGACAGGGTCTTGCGCTGTCACCCAGACTGGAGTACACTGGCGTGATCTCGGCTCACTGAAACCTCCGTTTCCCAAGCTCAAGTAATTCTCCCACCTCAGCCTCTTGAGTAGCTGGAACCATAGGCTTGTGCCATCATGCCAGCTAATTTTTAAACTGTTTGTAGAGATGGGGGTCCTACTATATTGCCCAGGCTGGTCTCAAACTCCTGGGCTCAAGCAATCATCCTGCCTCGGCCTCCCAAAGTGCTATGCCTGGTCTGAATTGCACGCTTTTTTTTTTTTTTTTTGAGACAGAGTCTCGCTCTGTTGCCCAGGCTGGAGTGCAATGATGGGATGTCGGCTCACTGCAACTTCCAGCTCCCAGGTTCAAGCAATTCTTCTCCTATCTCAACCTCCCAGGTAGCTGGGATTACAGGCGCCCACCACCACACCCATCTAATTTTTGTATTTTTAGTACAGATGGGGTTTCATCATGTTGGTCAGGCTGGTCTCGAACTCCTGACCTCAGGTGATCTGCCCACCTCGGCCCCCCAAAGTGCTGGGATTACAGTCGTGAGCCACCGCGCCCAGCCTGAACTGAGTACTTTTAAATGGTGAATTGTATGATATGGGAATTAAATCATGATTTTAAAATTGCCAACAAACAGTGGCACCTATAAAATAAGACAACCACACCGTGTCTGTGGGAAGGCGGTTGGAGGGTTAAATGTGCTGGTGTGGTCAAGGCTTGTGTGGTGCCTGGCACAGAGTGAGGGCTCAGACACAGCAGCTATATCATAATAAATCACGTCAACACTCGTATTGGCTTTCTGCCTAAAACACAAGGAGGGGTGTGACACTGGAAGAGGGGTAGCTGGGCAACAGTGCCACCGCAGCCCTCGGCTGGGGCCTGCCACCTCCCTTCTCTCTAGCAGAGAGCTGTCTCCATGGCAACCACATCAGCTCAGGCCAGGGGCTCCTGTTCCCAGCCGGGTGACAGCACCGCCTCGGCAGCCTGTCAGGATGGCAACGGCAGATCGTGATGATGGGACTGAGGCTCTGGCAGAAGAATTGCTCAGGGACCCTCGTCTCCATAGAAACCATGTCAGGAAAGAGAGGGAGGAGGGAGAGGATAAACAGCAAATAATAAACACAGGCTCCCGCCTTCTGCGCACAAGCCTGAGACACCACAGGGCACGTGAGGAGAGCTAGACCAGCCTCACTGACAGCAGCCGCAGAGGGATGTGAACCAGTGTTTCTTGAGCACCTACTCTGTACCAGGCACCACAAAGAGCTCTTTACAAGTCTGACCTCTTTTAAAATTTCACAAATAAATTCCAAATACTTTCTTTTCTTTTTTTGAGATGAAGTCTCGCTCCGTCGCCCAGGCTGGAGTGCAGGGGCGCAATCTAGGCTCACTGCAAGCTCCGCCTCCCGGGTTCACACCATTCTCCTGCCTCAGCCTCCTGAGTAGCTGGAACTACAGGCGCCCGCCACCATGTCTGACTAATTTTTTTGTATTTTTAGTAGAGACGGGGTTTCACCGTGTTAGCCAGGATAGTCTTGATCTCCTGATCTCATGATCCGCCGGCCTCGGCCTCCCAAAGTGCTGGTCTTTTCTGTTCTGTTCTGTTTTCCTCCCTCTCCCTCTCCCTCTCGATGCAGGGTCTCACTCTATAGCCCAGGCCAGAGTCCAGGGGTGCCACCATAGCTCACTGAAGCCTCAACCTCTTGGGCTCAAGCAATCCTCCCACCTCAACCTCCCTAGTAGCTGGGACTACAGGCATGCACCACCATGCCTGGCTAAATTTTGTATTTTTTATAGAGATGGGGTTTTGCCATGTTGCTCAGGTTGGTCTTGAACTCCTGGTCCCAACCAATCTGCCCACCTCTGCCTCCCAGAAGGCTGGGATTACAGCATGAGCCATGATACCCAGCTTCATTCCTTTGTAAGGTTGAAGAGTTTTCCATTACACATGTACACTACACTATGTTCATCCATTCATCCGCTGATGAACATTTGGGTTGCTCCTATCTTCTGGCTATTGTGAGTTATGCTCCTCTGAACATGGATGTGTAAATATCTCTTTGAGTCTCTGCTTTCATTTCTTTTGGGGATATACCTAGAAGTGAGAATGCTGGATCATATGATTGTTCTGTTTAATTTTTGAGGAACTGCCATACTATCTTATTCTTCTTAATTTCTTCATAGTATTCCATGGTTACATAATCTTATTCATGATCCTAAACAACCTCATAGGCTGCGTACAGTTATCACCCTGTTTTATTTATTTATTTATTTATTTATTTGAGACGGAGTTTCGCTTTTGTCGCCCAGGCTGGAGTGAGTGCAATGGCGTGATCTCAGCTCACTGCAACCACCACCTCCCGGGTTCAAGAGATTCTCCTACCTCAGCCTCCCAAGTACCTGGGATTACAGGTGCCCGCCACCACGCCCAGCTAAATTTTTTTTTTTGGTATTTTTAGTAGACACAGGATTTCGCCATGTTGGCTAGGCTGGTCTCGAACTCCTGACCTCAGGTGATCCACCCGCCTCGGCCTCCTAAAGTGCTGGGATTATAGGCGTGAGCCACTGTGCCTGGACCCCTTTTATCTTTTTTTTTTGAGACAGGGTCTCACTCTATCTCCCAGGCTGGAGTGCAGTGGTACAATCTCACCTCACTACAGCCTCCACCTCCTAAGTAGCTGGGACTACAGGCAGGCACCACCAAGCCTGGCTAATTTTTGCATTCTTTATAGAGACAGGGTTTTGCTATGTTGCCCAGGCTGGTCTTGAACTCTTAGGCTCAAGAGATCTGCCTACCTCGGCCTTCCAAAGTGCTGGGATTATAGGTGTGAGCCACCATGCAGGCTTTGCTTGTTTGTTTGCTTATCCTGATGTCACAGATAAAGAAACTGAGACTTAGAGAAGGGAAGTGGCTTCAGGGTTCCAGCCACATCTCTGCTAAGTATAGGCTGGGTGAACTCAGGCAAGTTGTTCCTCCCGGAGCCTCAGTTTCATCACTTGTACTGTGACCTTAAGATGCTTTCAGAAATTGTCTCCCCTTTTCACTATCAAGGGTAGCAGCAGCAAGACGGTGTGAAGAGGGTGCTCTGTGTTATGGGCCAGGCCGTGGGAGCGGGCAGCTGAATGAAGGGAGGGGGCTAGCCACCCTTAGCAGCAAACGCCTCCTCTCCCTGCACACTGAGAGGGCATTGGCACATCACACCAACACGCCCAGTGGGAAGGATGGCTGGAGGAATGTTCTGGCCTCGGGCTGTGGTGTCTCAGTCCAGGGACACTGGCAGGCTCGCCCTCGGGGGAGGAAGGCAGGCAGCGCCTGCAGCGAGGAGTGTGCCCTGGAAGAATGCATGATCCTCATACCTCATCAGCAGGCAGAGAGCTAAGGCCTGGCTCTGCCTCTAGGGCCAGAAGCCACCCCAGACCATTTGGAACACAGACCCCTGGAATGGGGGGATTCCAGCCTTTAAGGGACACCTAGGTTGATGGTTTCTAGTTGGCATTCTGCAGAACCCCCTCAGCCCTGCATGACCTTGAGGTCATCCCTCCCTCTCTCAAGGGCTGTTTGCTCATCCATAAAATGGGCATGATTGCAACCTTGTTAGCATGAAAATGTTTGAGATAAACTGTCAAGCAGGGCGCATACTATATGTTGTGTATACCCAACACACAACAGGAGGAGGAGGTCTGCCGGGGGAGGAACTGGCATGAACAAAGACAGACAGGATTGTGTCTCAGGGTCACATTGAGAAAGCACCAGTACCCCAGCGACACCGGCCTGAGACCCAGCCCCCGCACTGACTTCACGCCAAATGGCAGACCTGGCAGCCTCTTGCAGCCACTCCACATGTGCGTTATTCCTGTTGGTCCTCACAATGACTCAGGGCACCACTGCCCCATTTTACAGGTAAGGAAACTGAGGCACAGAGGGCTGAGCCCCATGCCTGACATTGTTGCATGTTTTCTCAGTGAATCCTCCCACAGCGGCTGTGGTTCTTTGATGAATGACTCCCTCTCGTTACCCTGTGAGCTCCCTGAGGACAGGAACTGGGTGTATTTTGTTCACCGTAGTAACCTTAGTGTCCAGCACACAGTTTACACAGTAGGTGCTCAGGAAATGCATGTTGGAGGAATGAATGAATAAACGACCTTGCCAGGGAGGCATAAGCTGCCCATTTCCCCCAAGTGGGGGCTCGCAGAGACACTGGCTTGTGGGGGCTTGCATGTGCCCGCCTGCCCTAGGCTGGCCCTGCTGGATGCACGAAGTCCTCACCTCTCTCGGTCGCTCCAGCTCTGTCTGTAGCACCTGCTTAGCCAGCTCAGTCTCGATGAGCCGCTGACGAAGTTCTTCGTTCTCCTCCTCCAGCCGCGCCCGTTTCTTCTCCACCACCTCGAGTTCCTTATGCAGCCGCATGGAGATGTCCTTAGAGACCTGTGCAGGGGTGGGAGAGAGAAGGGTGTGAGGAGGCTGAGGAGAGCCCCCACTGCAAGTCCCATTGACCACCCGACGTTCACAGCAGGGCAACCCCGGAGACAGGCAGGTTCCTATTGCATCACTGCCACACTGCAGATGAGCAAACTGAGGCACAAAGAGACCAAGAAACTCATGAAGGAAGCAGCAGAACCAAAACCCAAACCTAGGTACCACAAGCTCCCGGTGTCTGTATCACAGCACAGCCCCAGAAAGCTGGGAAGACCCTGTTCTCAGAAATGCCTTTTCATTTACCTGGGGCTTTTTTTTTTTTTTTTTTTTTGAGACTCCTGGGTGACGGAGTCTTGCTCTGTCACCCAGGCTGGAGTGCAGTGGCCGGATCTCAGCTCACTGTAAGCTCCGCCTCCCGGGTTTACGCCATTCTCCTGCCTCAGCCTCCCGAGTAGCTGGGACTACAGGCGCCCGCCACCTCGCCCAGCTAGTTTTTTTGTTTTTTGTTTTTTGTTTTTTTGAGACGGAGTCTTGCTCTGTCACCCAGGCTGGAGTGCAGTGGCCGATCTGCTCACTGCAGCTCGCTCCGGGTTACGCCATTCTCCTGCTCAGCCTCCGAGTAGCTGGACACAGCGCCGCACCTCGCCAGCTAGTTTTTTTTTTTTTTTTTTTTTTGAGACGGAGTCTTGCTCTGTCACCCAGGCTGGAGTGCAGTGGCCGGATCTTGGCTCACTGCAAGCTCCGCCTCCCGGGTTCACGCCATTCTCCTGCCTCAGCCTCCCGAGTAGCTGGGACCACAGGCGCCCGCCACCTCGCCCAGCTAGTTTTTTTTTTTTGTATTTTTTAGTAGAGACGGGGTTTCACCGTGTTAGCCAGGATGGTCTCAATCTCCTGACCTTGTGATCCGCCCGTCTCGTCCTCCCAAAGTGCTGGGATTACAGGCTTGAGCCACCGCGCCCGGCCACTAGTTTTTTTTTTTTTGTATTTTTTTAGTAGAGACGGGGTTTCACCATGTTAGCCAGGATGGTCTCGATCTCCTGACCTCGTGATCCGCCCGTCTCGGCCTCCCAAAGTGCTGGGATTACAGGCTTGAGCCACCGCGCCCGGCCTTATTTTTTTTTTTGAGACAGGGTCTCACTATATCTTCCAGATTGGAGTGTAGTGGTGCAATGATGTCTCACTGCAGGCTTGAACTCCAGGGCTCAAGCAATCCTCTCACCTCAGCCTCCAGAATAGCTAGGACTACAGGTATGCATAACCACACCTGGTTAATTTTGCATTTTTTTGTAGAAACAGGGTCTCAGCCGGGCATGGTGGCTCACACCTGTAATCCCAGCACTTTGGGAGGTCGAGGCAGGTGGATCACCTGAGGTCAGGAGTTCGAGGTCAGACTGGCCAACATGGTGAAACCCCATCTCTACGAAAAATACAAAAAATTAGCCGGGCATGGTGGCAGGTGCCTGTAATCCCAGCACTTTGGGAGGCTGAAGCAGGAGAATTGCTTGAACCAGGGAGGCAGAGGCTACAGTGAGCTGAAATCATGCCACTGCACTCCAGCCTGGGCAACAAGAGTAAAACTCTGTCTCTAAATAAATAAATAAAAAGAAACGGGGTCTCACTATGTGGTCCAGGAGAATCTTGAACTTCTGGCCTCAAGGGATTCTCCTGCCTCAGCCTCCTGAGTAGCTGAGATTATAGGCATGAGCCACTGTGCCCGGCTACCTGGGCTCTTCACACTTCCAAAGCCTCTCCCAGCCACCTCTTACCCAGTCCTCACAAAAGCCTGTAGGAGGGCCAGAAGCTTTTCTTTTTTTTTTTTTTTTTTGAGACGGAGTCTCGCTCTGCCGCCCAGGCTGGAGTGCAGTGGCCAGATCTCAGCTCACTGCAAGCTCCGCCTCCCGGGTTCACGCCATTCTCCTGCCTCAGCCTCCCGAGTAGCTGGGACTACAGGCGCCCACCACCTCGCCCGGCTAGTTTTTTGTATTTTTAAAGTAGAAACGGGGTTTCACGGTGTCAGCCAGGATGGTCTCGATCTCCTGACCTCGTGATCCGCCCGTCTCGGCCTCCCAAAGTGCTGGGATTACAGGCTTGAGCCACCGCGCCCGGCCCCACAAGCTTTTCTTAAAGGGAGAAGACTGAGGAGCTGGGTACAGTAGCTCACACCTGTAATCCCAACACTTTGAGGGGCTGGACACGGTAGCTCACACCTGTAATCCCACACTTTGAGAGGCTTGAGGCAGGAGGATCGCTTGAGCCCAGGAATTCGAGATCTGCCTGGGGAACATAGCAAGACTCCATCTCTATAAAGAAACCAAAAAAGTTAGCTTGGCATGGTGGCACACACCTACAGGCCAGGCTACTCAGGAAGCCAAGATGGAAGAATCACTTGGGCCCTGGAGTTCAAGGCTGCAGTGAGCTATGATTGTGCCACTGCATTCTAGCCTGGGCAACAGAGCGAGACCCTATCTCCTAAACACAAAACAAAACAAAACAGAGAGGGGATTAAGCTGCAGTGGAAACCCAGAGCAAGATGGGCCCCAGACCACTGAATCCCATCTCTGCCAGTGACCAGCCTGTAGTCCTGGGCAAGTCAATTTCCCTCTCTGCACCTCAGTCTCCTCAACTATAAAGTGAACACAGTAATAACAGGATCAAACTTACAAGCCTGACAGGATAATTGAACCAGCTATTGCACAAAAGCCTTGGCCTGGGCCCTGCACAGTGAGTTCTTGGTGACTGGTGCCTGCTGCTCCAAGGAGCTGAAGCCCAGAGAACGGCATGATGGCTGGAGGTCACAGTGTGACCCTGAGACCTGTATCTAGTTGTCTGGGATGTAGAACAGGCCCGATATGACAAAGGGCGGGCAGATGTCCAAGTCATCCCTACAGAAAGACGATAGAGGAGCTGCAATCTCTGATCCTGGTCCAGGACTCTGTAGCAATAGCACCCCATTCCTGGCACACACCCTCTGTTCTGTTCCCTGCTGGCTGGTTGAGGGAAGCCAGGAAAGGAGGCCTGCAGGGATGAGGATGGAAGGCTCTTCTGAGCTGGGAAATTGCAACCAGACTCCATCACTGTGTAGGCTGGGAACTACTGTTTGGTGAAGACTTACTGCATGCCAAACTCACCCATCTTCACCCCAGTCCTATCCCCATTTTACAAGGAAACTGGAGCTCAGAGCAGAAGTGACTCGCTCAGTGTCATGCAAAGCCAGTGTGGGCTGAGCTGGGCTGGAAGCCCCAGGGGTTTGGCTGAGGGGCCGGTATAGCCCAGGGTCTCCCAGAAGTGCCCAGGTTTCGCTAGCAGGAACTCCATGTGGGGCAGAGAGCCCAGCGCCCCGTGCCTGCTGGTCTCGGAAATGACTGTGGTGCCTCCTCCCTGCCGGAAGGGAAGAGGGCCCTCCCTGGCTCTGTCCTCTGCCTGGGCCCAAGCCCAGCTCGGCACAGACCCCTTGGCAGTGTATGAGGCAGGCCAGGAAAAACAACGACCGAAAGGAAACCAGGCACGGCCTCTCCCTCCCTCCACTGCCACTGCCTCTTTCTGCCCCTGAGGATCTCGTAGGACAGCCAGGAGCGGGACCATGAGGCTCCTCCCACAGCCTCTCTGGGCACCAGACCTTCCTCATCCATAAGTGGGGAGAACAACCCCTCAGTATCAGAACAAGGGCTTTGCAGATGGGAAAACTAGATTCAAGCCCAGTTCTAGCATTTACTGGCTATGTGACCCAGTACAAGTTATTTAAACATGGTCCCTGGTTTGGGGCTGGTTAGGTCACCCAGTAAGCCCCTGTCCTGATCAACTCTCCATTCACTCACTCACTCCTCACTCACTCATCCTGCTTAAGCACTTGAGGCAGGAGTGGTGGGGTACAGAGATCAAGGCCGCAGACGTACTTGGCCTCATTCACATCTATGTGTCCCAGCAGCGGCACAGCGTCAGGCACACACTAAGTGCCTAATAAATGCTTGTTGGATGAACAAATAAATCCAAGGGTCCAACAAGTGAAAAGGGAGGGGAGATGAACGAGTGAATGACTGAATATACATGGGGAGTGGCACCTGCCCTCGCAGGGCTGAAGAGGCTGCCCTCAAATGCCAACTCCACCCACTGTCCGGGAAGGGCTACACTCCTGGCTGGAGGGCTCCGCTCTCAAATGAGCTCCTATCTGGGCCAGCTCCTCTCCACCTGCGGGGATGCTGCATCTCCACCATGTCCTCCACCTGGGGAGGCTACCAGTTCCCATCAAGAAGTCACAATCCATGTGGATTTCTGGATCCTCTGGGGTTCATGAACAACTCTATGAATTTTATCCCCTCCCATCCCCTCCATGATTCCCCAGTTCTCTTTTGCCCCATTCTCCATGGAATCCCTTCCCTATTTACTCTCTTCCCCTGATGGCTGCTATATCAAAAGAAAGCACAGGCCGGGCACGGTGGCTCATGCCTATAATCCCAACACTCTGGGAGGCTGAGACGGGTGGATCACTTGAGGTCACGAGTTCAGGACCAGCCTGGCCAACATGGTAAAATCCCGTCTTTACTGTCTCTACTTAAATACAAAAATTAGCCAGGCGTGGTGGCACATGCCTGTAATCCCAGCTACTCGGAAAGCTGAGGCAGGAAAATTGCTCGAACCCAGGAGACGGAGGTTGCAGTGAGCTGAGATGCCGCCACTGCACTCCAGCCTGGGCAAGAGAGCAAGACTTTGTCTCAGAGGAAAAAAAAAAAAACACAACTCCAGGCAGCCAGACTAGGAGGCAGGAGCACTGTGGCCTGCCCTCGTCCCTGCTCCTCAGTGAGCCTCAGTGGTCCTGGGCCTCCTCAGCCCTCACAATTGATTTACAGAATCAGCTAGCACATTCCCTGGGAGGGCGGGTCAACACATGCTTTTCATCCCATTGGGAAGCACTTTGATTATTATCCCCATTCTGAGGCTCAGAAAGGAAAGGTCACTTCCCAAGGTCACACAGCTAGGAAGGCTGTAGAACCAAGGTTTGAAATCGAGTGGAT